GTGAAATGAGTGAGTATATATATATATATATATATTTCATATTTTGTATATATTATTTTTTTATAATTTTTTGATTCCTTTTTTTATTTCATTGTTCATGTTTTCTTTATTTTTTGTTCCAATGTTTTATTTTTTTTTCTATTTTTTTAAGTTTTGTTCCTGTTTTTAACTTTTTTTTTTATTTTAATGTCCCTTTTTTATTTTATTGTACCTAATTTTTTATTTATTTTTTAACCTTTTTTTATTTTTTGTTCCTATTTTTCATCTTTATTTTTTCCAGTTTTTTTTTAATTTTTTAAGCTTTTTTATTTTTATACCCTCCACCATAGTATGGAGGGTATCTTAATTTTGTCATTCCGACCCTATAAAGTACATATATTCTTGATCAGGGTAAAATTCTAAGACGATCTAGCCATTTCCGTCCGTCCGTCCGTCCGTCCGTCTGTTGTAATCACGCTATCTTCTGAAGGAATTGAGATAGGGAGCTGAAATTTTGCATAGGGTTGTCTTTTGTCTGCAGGCAGGTTAAGTTCGAAGATGGGATATATCGGTCCACGTTTAGGCATAGCTCCCATATAAGGGTACCCGCCAAATTTCGGTATTTGGGGTTCTTGAGCGCGTTTTTCAGCCGAATTCGCTGACATTTAGTACATTGGGTTCTTATTGGATACTAAATGTCTCCACAAAAATTTATTAGTATAGGTCAATTTTTTCTGGTAGCCCCCATATAACTGTACCTCCTAATTTTCAGTATTTTGGGGGTTTTGGTCGTATTTTTCCACCGAATTGGCTGTAATTTATTATTTTGAGTTCTTAATAGGTACCAAATCTCTCCACAAAAAATTAAGTACCTATATAGGTCCATTTTTTTCGGGTAGCCCCCATATAAGGGTACAACCCAATTTTCGGTATTTTGGGGTTCTTGAGTGTGTTTTTCAGTCGAATACGTTGAAATTTGGTACATTGGGTTCTTATTGGTTAGTAAATGTATCCACCAAAAATTATAAATATAGGTCCACTTTTTCTGGTAGCCCCCATATCACGGTACCTCCCAATTTTCAGTATTTTTGTGGTTTTTATCGTATTTTTCCGCCGAATTAGCTGTAATTTAGTATTTTGAGTTCTTAATAGGTACCAAATCTCTCAACAAAAAAATTATGAATATAGGTCTATTTTTTCGGATAGCCCCCATATAAGTGTGCCCCCAATTTTCGGTATTTTGGGGTTCTTGAGCGCGTTTTTCAACCGAATTTGTTGAAATTTGGTATTTTGTAGTCGTATATGGTAACAAATCTCTCTATCAAAAATTATTAATATTCGCCCCCTTTTTGGGGTAGTCCCCATATAACCCCCTTTTTATATTAAAATAGTTATCTGATTTGTTCCGCGTTTTGAGTTTGGTTCTATGACTCTATTGTACCCACTGATCGTCTTACAGAAAATATTCATAAATTCATTCATTTTGAAATGCTGAGAACCACAAAAATGTCTATAATTATTTACCCCATAAACTGAAATGCCTATGGGCGTAGCCACCTATTTAGAAACAATTGTCAAAGCCATCAATTGCCAACTACAACAACAAAACAACAACAGAAACAATATAACAAATAAATTGCAATAAAATATTGAGATTTTTGCTGATCGATTTCATCGGGTCGTTACACGCCCAACAACTCTACAAACAATGTCAACCAGCCGAAATAAAATAGAATTAAAAAAAAAATACAAAAACAAAAAATTTCTAAAAAATATTCTAACAATGTATCGAGCAGTAAATTTTGCGGTTTCGCAAAAAAAAGAATAATACCGGGCTAACATACTTTTTTGTTAAAGAGCAAAAAAGATAACAGAAAAACAGCAAATAAATAATAGAACAAAACATATAATTTCAAAGATATTTATCGACTTCTGTTTTAGAATTTTAATTGAGTGTAAAGAACTTTTTGCAAAAGCAAAAAAAAAAGCCAATATGGTTTTTATTTATTTCTTTAAACAAAAAAAAACAGCAAAAACGATTGGAACTCAAACTGTTGGATATGAGTGTTGGCGTCATGCAGCCAACCAACCTGGGTTCAAATTTTTTTTCTTTCAAATATTTTTGTATTTTTTTCTGCCATTTGATAAGCCAAGAAATCACACAAGAAACTAAATTCGAAACCACCTACCTAAAATTCGAAAAAAACGGTTAAAAATGAAATTTAAATTTAATGAGCTCAGAAAATCGGTTCAAAAATTAACATTTAAAGTGAAAAAGCTAAAATTATTTAAAATCACATTGAATTAGCGAACGGGTCACATAAACAAGCGTGCCACTCAAAATGTCTAAATTGGTATGTTGGCGGTTGTTTGCTGGGGATGATTAGATTTCCGCTGGGTGAGCAGAAAAAAACAACAATAAGAAAATAATAAATTGAAAATAAGAAATATATTTAATAAGAAAAAAATTGTTTTCGAAGGTCAGTTGCAGTAAGATACCTCCTCCACTAGCAGCCAACCATCTAATTCTCGATTTTGCCTTATTTCAAAAAAAAAATAATAATAATTCACTTTCATATTAATAAATATTTGCCAACAAAAAGGAAAACAAAACAAAATGCCAAATTACGGGGAAAAAAGTACTTTAGTCACTGCTCTTCCATGAAATAAGTATGTAAGCAAAGCAGCCACTTTCTGATGCATTTAACGCAAAATTTCATTTCAATTATTATATAAACAATCACACCCCGACCGTAAGAGCGAACAATTGTTGATTGAATAAATATTGAGAAAAGTGTTTTTTTTTTGTTTTTGTATTTTTGGAAATATAAACAAATGAAGATAAAACCCAAATGGCTTGGGTCGGAACTTTAAACACATGTATGTATATACAACGTATGTAGCTACGTAATATGTCCATTTAAGACGATATACACTATGTAAATTTGGTTAACATTTTTTTCAGTCAGAAATGGTCATGATGTTCATTTAGTCATTTAATGTTAAATGACGATGACGACGACGACAATTGACGACAACGGAAATCGCCACAAAAAGTCTTCTTTGATTTTAACATGTATATTGACAGTATTTTTATTTTTTATGACTGATTTGTAAAATTAAATTTGGATCTGGAATAATTTTAATTAAAAAATGAAATAAATTAAAAATAAAAGAACTTATAATTCAATAAATAAAATCAACCAAAAAAAATAACAGTATTAGTTTTTTTATAATTGTAAGACATCTATTTTTACAATTTGCTAATATTATTATAATATATCTTTAATATTTTTAGTTATTATTTTTATTTTTTAGAAATTTAATTTCTTTATTATTATTAATTTTATATTATTATTTGTTTTTTTTTCAACTTTTATATTTTAAATTAATTTGTGCTATTTTTATTTTTTTTCTTTTCGAAATTTTTGTATATATATATATATATATATATATTAAACATTTTATTATATCTATTTTTTATTTTTTTTTTAAATTTAAATTTTATTTTTTATTAATTCATTTTTTTATATTTTATATTATTTAATTTGTTATTATTTTTATTATATATTTTTATTTTATATTTTATTTTTATTATTATTTTTAATTTATTATTATTTTTAATTTATTATTATTTTTAATTTATTATTATTTTTAATTTATTATTATTTTTAATTTATTATTAATTTTTTTATTAATTTTTTTTATTATTTTTTATTATTATTTATTATTAATTATTATTTTTTATTATTAATTATTATTATTTATTATTAATTATTATTATTTTTTATTATTTATTATTATTTTTTATTATTAATTATTATTAATTTTTTATTATTAATATTATTTTTTACAATTATTTTTTATAGTTATTTTAATTTTTTATTTATTTTTTTATTATTATTTTTTTTTTTTATTTTATATTATTAATTTTAATTATTTTATATTATTAATTTTAATTATTTTTTATTATTATTTTAATTATTTTTATTTACGTTTTAACTATTTTTTATTATTCATTTTAAATATTTGTTATTATTTATTTTAATTATTTTTATTATTAATTTTATTTTTTAAATTATTTTTTATTGCAAATTTTATTTGTGTTTTTAATAATAATATTTTTATTATTTAAAATTTTTAATTTTTTTTTTATTTTTAATTGTTATTATTATCATTTTTATTACATAATTTTTAATATTTTTATTATTATTTTTTAAATTTTATTATTATTTTTTTGTTCATTTTTATTATTATTTTTTTTTATTTTTATTATTATTTTTTATTTTTATTATTATTTTTTATATTTATTATTATTTTTTTTTTATTTTTATTATTATTTTTTTTTATTTTTATTATTATTATTTTATTTTTATTATTATTTTTTATTTTTATTTTTATTTTTTATTTTTATTATTATTTTTTTATTATTTTTTTTTATTTTTATTATTTTTTATTATTATTTTGTAATTTTTTTTATTTTTGTTATTTTTTTGTTATTTTTATTATTTTTATTATTATTTTTTTCGTTATTTTTATTATTTTTTTTTTTTAATTTTTATTATTTTTTATTTTTATTATTATTTTTATTTTTTTTATTTTATTATTTTTTTTATTAATTTTTTATTTTTTATTATTTTTATTTTTAGCATTCTTATTTTTATTTTTTTTATTATTTGTATTATTTTTATTAAATTGTTTACATAATTTATAAAAGAAAAATGTTATATAAAATTTTATAGATTTTTATCAAAATTAAAATTTTATATATTATTAAAAAATAAAAATTGTATATATAATATTATGTAAATATTAAATATTTTCATAAAAATAAAAATTTATATAAAAATACGTATGTAAAAAATACGAAGTAACATGTTATATTTTTAAATATTATTTTATTTTTATTTAATAAAAAAAAATATTTCTTTATTATTATCTTAACATTTTATATTTTTAAATATTATTTTATTTTTATTTAATATATAAAATGTAGTTTATATTGTTTGTTTGGTACTTACATAAATTAGACCAGAATAGTATCTGTCTTTGATATTGTGCAAGACGGATGCTTCATTGAGACATGTTAATTCGGCCATATCCTCGACTTTGTCGAATTTAGGCGGATTCATTTTTTGTATATCATCACGTAGAACCATGACACGCTTACCCGTTTCGGTAAGTTCAACTTCGACTTCGTCGCCATGTTCACGTTTAATACTGGCAGCACAGAAACCCTGCAAAATGTAAAGAAAGAAAAATTAAATTAAAAAGAAAAAATAAATTAAAATTTATGGCAATTGAGGAAAAATAAACAAATTGATATTAATTAAAGAATAATATACAAAATAGAATTTCTTTAAAATATAAAAATTAAAAAAACACACATTTTTAAAAAATATTTTTGAAGAATTTTTTGACATAAGTTTAATAAATTAACGTTTTTTATTTAATTTTTAGAGAGGTAATTTTTGAATGTACATCGAAGCATAACCTTGGATTTTTATCGTGGTTTATATATTTTAAAATATTATTTATTTTTTTATAAAAAAGTCTTCTTTCTGCATATTATATTTTCAGTCTAAGCATGTGTAAAATTTTCTAAAAATAAATGTAAAATAAAAAACAGAGAAAACATTTTTTCATGCAATAGAAGAACAATTGTGCCAAAAACAAAACCAACAACTGCACAATTTTATTTCAGTTGGTTTCACGCGCCTATAATAAGAACAACAACAAACCACAATAACAACATTAAAAAATGTTCATTGAAATTGATGCTGTATCTACAAACTGCAGGCACGCAAGAAATTTTATCAAACATACACACATTTAAACACAAATATTCAACCCATAAATCGGATATAATTGAATTTATTTTTTTCAAAACAAAACAAAAATCTAAATAAATAAAAATAATGCAACGCCAAACTGTGTACATTTTTGCTACAATTCATTTGTATTTCTAATATTCCCTCTCTATCACACTCTTTCTCTCACTCGACTTCCTTCTTCTTCTTCTTCTTATTGGAATTTATGTTGTTGTTGTTGCTGTTGTCATTCTCTTTAGTACACAATGTGAAGTGTGTTGCTGTTGTTGTCGTTGCATATTTCTTTCATTAAGTTTAAACGTCAAGTTGAAGGAATTTCATTTACAGAGCCTTGAACTTGTTTCATCTGAATGTGAGTGTGACGTTGTTGTTGTTCATCATCTTCGTCTTGTTTCTTGCGTTTCTTTGTTGATATGTATCTTTATCTTCGTTGTCTTCCTCTTCTTCTGGGAGTGCTGGCTGTTGTTTGTGGCAGCCATTGCATGATGCAAAAAAATGCAAACCAAAACACAAACGTGCACACACACACACATTGCCACAGAAAGAAAAATAAACAAAAATTTGCAGTAATCCCCCCAATTCAAGGAGAAGAAAAAATGCCGGCATATACGGATTTAGTTTTAATGGAGAGGGAGAGTAATAGAGAAGTGTATTATTACACACAGTAACAGTAACACAAAAATGCAGCATCACACAAATTCTCCCACAGTAACAGTAATACGAGCAAACTTATCATGCCCGAAACAAAGATGCTTTCGTGCGGGGGCGAAGAGAGCCAGCCAGCCAAACAATTGAATGGGGAGTGGGAGAATGAGTTATTGTTGGTATTGTGTATGCAATAGAGATAATACGAGCAAACTTATCATGCACGAAACAAAGATGCTTTCGTGGGGCAGAGAGAGCAAGCCAGCCAGCCGACCAATTGAATGGGGAGTATGAGAGTATGTTATTGTTGGTATTGTATGCAATAGAGGAGAGCAGAGCTGCAATACAATGCAATAGTGGAATTATTACAGCATCTTAAAACACAAGGGCTCCACAAACAACAAAATGGGTAGCAGTGACAAATGCATCGCTCTCTCTCTCTCTCCCTGTGTATTATTCTCTTTCACTATATTGCGTGCAGGAATGCGTATTAATGATCTTAAACATAATTGAAAGGTAAACAAAAGAAGACATTTTAAAAAAGGGAAAAAAGGGTGTTGGCGAAAAAAATGTATTCCCATCAATTTATTTATATGATTTTTTTGGTACTAAAAAGGGGGTAAAAATATTTAAAATTGTATCAAATATTGGAAGAACTGCCATACCATTTAGTATTGTCGGTCAGATAATTTCGATAAAATTATCTATGTTTTTAAATTTTAATTTTTAAAAATTAAAAACCTAATACAATTTGAAAAACAGCAATATTATTAAAATTAAACTTAAGGGGCCCCACCATTCTGGATTTTAAATTTTGACGATTTTCAACCGGCATCAAGAGTTTAATTATCGCCAATATCTTCAAAAGAGTTGTTGAGATTTCCTCTTAAAAATTTTATGAACCATCTTGAGGAAAGTTGGTAGAAAATATAATTTAAAAAAATCGATGTGCCCTTACATTTAAAACATCTAAAATTAAACTAAAAACCTATATTTTCTGTGTTACCTTATCTAGAGAAGCTCACAGAAAAAATGTGATAATGAAGAAAAAAACCTCTGCTGGGGTACAAATGTCAAGGAAAATGGCAAATAAACAATTTAATAATTGTCAAAAAGATAAAAAATATTGTTGACTGTTTGTTGTAATAGTTATTGTTGTTGATGCAAGCAAGCAAACATGAATTAACAAAAAAGCACTTAGATACATGACGAGTGTGTGTGTATGAGATAAAATGTATGTCACATATGTAGTTATCAGTAGTATTTTTTATGACGGGTTACATATTTCACTCACTCAGTCAGTCAGTCACTAAATAAATTGTCTTGCTACCGGTTTGATCAGCTACCAACAAAACGCAAATTAATAATAGCTTGGCTTTGTAGTTTCAGTTCTTTCTTGACTGCACCCATAGAAGAGTTATGAGATAAAAAACGAAGAAACGAATAACTACAACATTATTAAAATTCTTGAAGGCCTGCCGCATTATTCAGCTACTCACATTCATTGTTTGAGGGTGTGTGTGTGTGTTGGTTTTGGTCTGAAGTTTGTAATCTTGTGATTACAACTTAAGAACAGTCTAAATACATTTTTAGGGAGGAGAGAGATAGCTTTTCAATGGATAAAAAACCAATTATAATAAAAAAAATTTCCGAAGTAATTTCACAAGGGCACTTTATATAATTTTTTGTACTATCTCTACTATTTTGGAACCAACATTTAAATAAATCTATTTAAGATTTTTTTAACAATTTGTAACTTTTTTGAAACAAAAATTTTCCAATTGAAAGGGACAATAATTCTCAAGTTTTCTGAACATTTTTCATTTCTTTTAATAAGGTGAAAATTTTGACCATTACCATTTTTGTTTGACAACATTATTTGTACTAAACATTGTACAATTGTACTATAAACTGTATAATTGTACTAAAATTTTTACAAAAAAGTTACAATTGTACTAAAAATTGTATAAATGTACTAAAAATAAAAGCACACAAAAACACTATTCCCAAGTATTCTGAACATTTTTTTGGTGTTTTTAATACCATATTTTAATAAGGTAAAGTTTTTCGTACCATTTTTACATCGGTTACCATAAGTATTGTGTACTTTTTGACAACATTCTAAAAATTGTACCTTTGTACTAAAAACTATATAATTGTACTAAAATTTTACAAAAAAAAATACAATTGTACTGAAAATTTTACAATTGTACAGAAAATTGGACAGTTGTACTTGAAAAAATTGTATAATTGTACTAAAAATAAAAAACACACAAAAACACAATTCTCAAGTATTCTGAACATTTCTATGGGGTTTTTAATTAACATTTTTCGTACCATTTTTAAATCGGTTACCATAAGTATTGTGTTCTTTTTGACAACATTCTTTGTACTAAAAATTGTACACTTGTACTAAAAATTGTACACTTGTACTAAAAATTGTACACTTGTACTAAAAATTGTACACTTGTACTAAAAACTGTATTGTACTAATTGTACTAAAATTAGTAGTAATTGTACTAAAATTTTACAAAAAAAAAATACAATTGTACTGAAAAATTTTACAATTGTACAGAAAATTGGACAGCTGTACTGAAAATTGTACAATTGTACTAAAAAAATTAAAATTGTACTACTTAAAAATTTTACTATTTTAAAATTATACTATTTTAAAATTGTAACAAAAATTGTACTATTTTAAAATTGTACTATTTTACAATAGCACTAAAAATTTGTACGGTTAGTAAAATTCTAAACTCAAAAATTATATAATTGGTACATTATTTTTTTTAAGATTTTATTAATAATTAAGATTTTTTCTACCAAATACTACGAATATATACTTTTTCTGCAACATGGTACTAAATTTCTTACATTTATTCTTTTTCTAAAAAGGTACTAATTTTGGTGCCAACAAAAACGACTCTATATAATTAAAATTTTCTAGATCGGTACTGTTTTTTTGGTAACATTTGTATATTTTATGGCACCAAAAAGTTCGAATGGGAATGTGTAAAATTTTGTGTATGTACATTTCATTTTAATTTTATTTTCTATGTGTCCATCTAGTACTATTAGTACTCTTTTAGTCTATTTTGTACAAATTTTGGGTCTTGGTACATGTTTAAGTACTCTTGGTACGATTTTAAATACTCTTGTGATACCCATTTAAGTACTATTCGTACCCTTTTAGTACTCTTTATAAACATTTTGTATACATTTTGGGACTCTTGATACCATTTTAGGTACTTTCGATACTATTTTAAGTACCATTCGAAACTTTCGTAGTAATTTTGCAACTTTCGAATCCATTTAAAAATATTTTTTAAAAATATTTACTCTTGGTAACCTTTTAAGTACTCTTGGTAACCTTTTAAGTACTCTTGGCATTCCGTTAAATACTCTTGGTAAACTTTCAAATACATCGTGCCCTATTTATATTATTTTTCCAAACATTTTGGCACATCATTGTAACGACAATGAACCCCAAGAAAACTATTAAGATAGCAAGGTAATTTTTTGTACAAATTTTTAGGACCCTTGGTGCCATTTTAAGTACTCTTGATATCATTTTATGTACTATTCGTACCCTTCGAATCTATTCCAGAACTCTCGAATATATTTAAAAATATTCACGCTATTTCCACTCTTGTTAGCCTTTTAAGTACTCTTGGTACCCTT